AGAACAAGGCGGAGGCGCTTGTAAAGAAGTTCTTCCTAAGCCTGGGGGCGGACCTTAGCGATATCTAGGACCCGGACCTTAAGGAGGAGTAGGAACAGGGGTTCGAGGTCTAGGAGCTTGTAAGCTTCCTGGCGATAGAAGCGGTATAGGATAAAGCGAGCCTGTAGAAGGCCCTAGGGGAGGATATACTCCTAATAGGATTCCTGAAGGTGTACAGCCGACCGCTAAGCTAGATCCTCGCGGCCCTGACTACAAGGTGCCTGCAGCTAGTATAGTTCCTAGCTGCGTTTAAGAGAGCTAAGACAGTAGTCCTGTAGAAGCTAGGAAAGACACCTAATATATACCGTACCCTAGGAGGTTACTGCCCTATTACGCTACTCCCGACTATAGGGAAGGTAATCGAGGTAGTAGTAGCGAGAAGGATCATAGCGGCGGCGGAGGTCTATAGGCTGCTCCCTACTAAGCAGATAGGTAACCGGGCGAGTAGATCGACCGAGCTAGCGGTCCGACTAGTCGTAGCCCAGGTCCAGGAGGTATAGCGCCAAGGCGCCTTGGTATCCCTCCTACAACTGGATATTGCCGGAGCCTTCGACATAGTTAACCACGTTAGACTACTAGCTACGCTCCAGGAGCTTAGCTACCTAAAGTAGATAGTACTCTAGGTGTAGGAATAGCTAACGGATAGGGTCGCGATCCTCTACTTTGACGGGAAGGTAACAGACAATATCCTAGTTATAGCGGGGGTACCCTAGGGGTCCCCCCTATTGCCCGTCCTATTTATCTTATATATCGTATTACTATATAAGGACCTAAGGAGAGAGTACCTATACCTTAGTATAGCGGGCTTCGCCAACGACACGAACCTACTAATGTTCGGAAAGTCGGCCGAGGTGAACATCCGCTAGCTCGAGCGAGCGTAGGGAACCTGCTTGAAGTAGGTGGGAACGTAGGGAATAGCGTTCGTAGCGTAGAAGTATAAACTAATCCACTTTAATAAGAACCGAAGGTAGTAGCTAGACCTAGCTAAGCTCGCCCTCCCGGACAGAGGTAGGCACATAGATATTAAACTAGTCAAGTCCGCTAGGTTCCTCGGGGTCTAGCTAGACTAGAAGCTCTTATAGCAAGCGCACTGTAGCGCGGTTAAGAAGAAGCTCGCCACCTAGGAGTTCGCGCTAACGAGGATCGTGGCGAAGACGTAGGGCCCGAGCCTCGCGAAGGCCTAGGAGGTATACACAAAGTGTATAAGGAGCGTAGTAACATACGGAGCGGCGAGCTACTACGTCCTAACTATAGTCGGTAAGGGGAGCGAGCTAAAGGGGATAGCTAAGAAGCTAGCGAAGGACTAGAGTAGGGGCCTCCGCGTAGTAGCGGGAGGCTATAGAACTACGCTAATTAGGTACCTAGAGACGGAGGCCTAGGTCCTACCGGTAGACCTCTACCTAAACAAGCAGCTAGCTGACTTTGAAGCTAGGATATACGAACCACTCCTCTAGTTAGGGGAGGGACTAGGGCGCCCCCTAGTTGTAGTAGCGAGCTTAATCTAGGAGGCGTATACTAAGCTATTTAGGAGGTTCTAGAAGAAGAGCGGGAGGATACGAGGGAGGAAGCCTAGGCTAGGCCTATAGGGGCTAATAGCGGTCGAGAGAGTAGTAGCTATAGCAAACGAATAGGCTAAGCAAAAGTAGAAGATAGGGAAGCTGAAGAACAAGACCCTCGATACAGATAGAGTAGTGGAACTCGCCTAGCAGGAGCGCGAGATAGCGGCCTAGGAGAGGCGCGCCGCGCTTGTAACAAGAGCAAGAAGACCTACATACCGCTTGGCAGACAAGGACCCCCCGATACAACTATTTACAGACCTTGCCCTTAAGAGACACGAGGGTCTAAGCAAGGCTTAGAGCTCCCTACTCGCCTAGGCGCGTAGTGGGGACATCGGCCTCCGGGAGTACCTAAACAGGGTGAACGTCCTAGAGATTACTACACTATACTATAAGTACGGCGAGGGCAAAGAAACGATCGAACACCTAGTAGTATAGTATAAAGATCCACCGAAGTACAGAACCTAGGAGGAGTTACAAATACAGTTACGACGGGATCTGCAGCTCGTCTTGCGACAAGCTATATAGCCGTACAAGAGCTTGGTAAAGGTGGTTATCAGCTAGTTGATAGATTCGGGGCGCCTAACGGAGTATAGCGTAGCTCGTAGGCTGCAACTAGAAGCTACGATAGCCGCGAAAGCGGCTAAGAGTAGCGGAGAGGGTGCGGGAAGTGCCGAATCGAGCCGCTAAGGGAGACAGGGGCTACCTTTAACACGTAGCATAATAGATTCAAAGCGCTAAAGCAGAAGCGTAGGCAGGGGTTTTTACCCGGCCCCCTGTTCAGGGGGTACGGTTTCCTTTGTATATAAACCAGTAGCAGGACCGGCGCGCCGTAAGGCATATCGGAGTACGAATAAATAATATAGATAAATCTAGTAAAGCCTTATAAATTCTAGCTATAAAGTATAGATATAGTAATATATTTTCCTTTAAATGTTTAAGTCTATAATTATAACTAGAGAGATAGCGTAATATACCTAATAACAAACTAGTTTCTATTATTACATATACAATAGAGCAATCGTTAAAAGCAAAATTTGGTGCGGGTTTGTTAGTAAGACGGCAGGGTGAGCAGATAAGATTTTTAGTTTTGGGACTCATGTAGACTTGACGCTCCGTAATCATCACCAAGTACATGATTCGCTGGCACGGCGCGACCCTCTCTCATTCGATAGGTGGGCCACTCAGCGTAGCCAAGGCAATGCACACTCACTTACATAAGCGGCGGGTAAATTGTGACCTGCTCGCAGCCGAGAGATGCATGATGTCCAGGGGGCCGTCATGTGACCTCAACGGGGTTTAGCACTGAACAAGCGCTGTCATGTAGTTTCCTATAATCTGTATGTTTTGCCAAACCCCCCTCCAACGTTCTGACAGGACACTATATGGGCACGAATGGGACCCGAGATACCAAGACCAGCATTATCATAAGTCTGGTGACATGCCTATCACCCTCCCACTGTACAATGGCGCCCGCATCGGCTTCACAGACGCGCATGAATCCAAGGAGGACATCATCCGGCGCATCGCCTGGCATTGCTGCGCTGTCTCGGCCACGGCCGACTTGCAGCAGCAGAGCGAACAAGGCCGGCTTTCCAGCCTCGCCGCCCACCACCTCCGGATTGACGCGACGCGATGCGTCACGGAACCAACCGAGCACTGGCCCGCTGGGAGCTTCAACAAATGTGTCCCAATCCGTGTCGACGACCCGTCCGCCCGCTCCACCGCAGGCTCGCACCTTCTACTGCGCGTCCCGATGGCCCACAGGCTGACTGGGATAGTCGAGGAGAAGATGCGATGCGAGGTTGCCACATATATCTGGATGCAGGAAAACTGCCCGGACATACCTATACCTCGGCTTTACGGTTTCGGCTTTCCGAGTGGCCGCCACGTGAGTTGACTGGGCATATGTCTTCCCCATACTTGACTACTTATTGCTGAAAAAAAACAGAGACGGGGCTGACGCGCTTTACAGTTCACCCACGCGAGTCTCCTCCCATGGTATCAAAGATGGGCCAGACGGCTCCGAAGACGGATCTGCGCTTGGTTCAGTTGGCCTATCCCATCGTACTACGTCGAGAACCCGTGGTCCTGCGACTTCCCGGCAGGATACATCCTGCTTGAATTCATTGACATTGGAAAGCCGCTCGCCAAAACATGGTTTTCTACGCCAATAGACCCCGCAAAAAGGCACAATTTGTTCCGCGGCATCTCACGCCTGATCATCAAACTGGCACGTGTCCCGCTCAACCGCATTGGATCCTTCACCTTTGATCCCAGTATCGGAACGATTTCCCTTACCAACCGCCCGCTTACCAGCATTTCCCTTACCAACCGCCAGCTTACCAGCGGCATCGCCATCATGGAGAACGACGGAGCGGCCCGGGTCATGGACCCCGACCAAACCTATGAAAGCGTCGACCCTTACGTCACAGATCTTCTAGCCTTACACGACAACCGCTTTCTTGCCCAGAAGAACGCCGTAAAGAGCATGGAGGATTGCTACTACCAAATGGCCGTCCAAGCAATCCTGCGAATCATGTCACCGCAGTATCTTGATCGGACTCTCAGGAAAGGACCGTTCTACATGCAACTGACTGATCTTCACCCAGGGAATCTGATCGTGGACGATGATTGGAACATTACGAGCCTGATTGACCTCGAATGGATATGCGCTCGCTCGCCCCAGATGATTGACATCCCGTGTTGGATTACCTCGAGGAGCGTCGACGAAGTCTGCTTACCTGAGTACTCGTCCGAGTATGCTACGGCGAGAGAGACTTTCATGGTCGCATTCAAGGAGGAAGAACGCGACATGTCCGGCGACCTATCAAAAACGATTGACAAGTCCTATTCATCCAAAGCTTCGTGGTTCTTCCACGCTCTGGACTCTATCAATGCCATGTATCAACTCTTTGAGCTCCAGCTACGGCCCCAATTCATCGCCCAAGGCATCCCGGTGAAGGTCGGTGCATACTTTGCCGGCTTTTGGGCCCAGCGAGCGAGGGAGACCACCAGGCGAAAACTACTGGAAAGGGAGGAATACGATGCGGAACTCCGGGTAATGTTCCGCGTTGAGGCAATCGTCCCCAACGAGGAGGGGGTGGTAGTCCCAAACAAGGAAGAAGCAAACTAAGTAGCGTATATCCCTGTCCTCGGGGTTCATTAACTCTCTCCTTCCCCAATGTATTCCTCTCCCTCCCTAACAACAACAGGTTCAAGTCCTCATTGTTGTTTAAAGGGTGCGGTTTCTTGTCCCTATAGCTACCAATTCCAACATCTTATAGGCAGACAGGGAACATTAGTAAGAACAACGCTCCCGTTCCTCCACCAGATTATCACCTTGAAGTTGTTGTCGCTCACGTCACCATACGAGTTCTTATTCGATGCAAAATAGCACAACCAGCTCGTGTGGTGTAGTGGTAGCATACTTGCTTTGGGATACCAAGATTGCAAGTGGTCCCAGGTTCAAGCCCTGGCTCGAGCCCATTGATTTTTGGGTTTTGCCATTACTTTATTGTTTCTCTTTTCGTTTCCATAATCAATGACTGCCAAGACGGTGGGCCAACCTGCCAAGACTTTGGACAACCTCAACCGTATGCCAAAGCAAGTGTGCGCCCACATCGAACTGATGTGTCAAAAACTCTGAATCCCGAGAGGCCGGCCGTTGTTGGTACGTGAAACAGGCCGACAACATCAGCCTTTGGCTCCCTCAAAACACATGCGATTGGGAGCCTGGGAGCATCACAATTTTGTATAATTTTTTGGCCAGTGAAAGTCTGCAAATGTTGCTGATAACCACCTTGGCCAATCAGGGGATATAGTCCAAGACACCCAAATCGCCCTGGTATTAAGCATCAGATGACTGTGGGGGATCTGCGTTGGGGTGCGACAGGGGTAAAGGCGCCAAGACGCTGGTGGCCGCCCTGCCTATTTCAGCGGCGCAGCGGGTCGGCACTGCCGGGCACCAAGCCTCCAACCCGCCTTGAAAGAGCCAGGCCATGACTCACACTTTTCGGCACCAATCCCGCGTCGTCCCAACACACCAAAGCCCGGTTAACGCTCTTCCCAATTGACCGGCCGGCCAGGCGGCGCCCCATGACTCTAGCATGGCTGCGAAGGAGGCCAATGGGCGGGCGCAACCAATGATGGAACACGCCCTTTCTATAAGTCGCACGCTGTTTCTCCCTTGTTCGGGAATCAGACCTTTTCACCCTTCTCATCACCGGCGAGTCCTCACTTGCGCTAGCAACAGGCAGTCCTTTGCGTCAGTCAACCAAAAGCCAAGGAGGACAGATCAACGACCCGTCGAACCATCGCGGAAACAGGCATATAACCCCACGAGTCCACCATGGGGCGTCCCCTCCCCAATTTCCCCATCAACCTCCGGGGGGGCTCCGGCGCCCGGGGTGTGTCCGGATCCGACCCCAGCTTACGCGACCCCACCTCCGAGCCCGACGGCGGTAGTACCCGCTTCTGCCGCTGCGAGACCCACCAATCCAGCCGTCGCCTCCCAGCCGCCGCCGTCGAACGCGCGCGTGTCCCAACGCCCCATGTGAAGCCACGCTACGCCGGGACCGCCGCCGACGCCGACGCCGACGAGGGCGCCGCGCTGGCCGGCCCAGACCGGAAGCTGCCTGGCGACAACAACCACAACAACGACAACCACGGCAGCAGGGACACCACCACCACCACCACTACTGCCGCCGCCTGGTCCGCTACAAGCACCAGGAACACGAGGCGCTGCGGCGTTGTGTACGGCCGGCAACGGCGGCCGTCGCTGGAGCGGCAGGATGCGTTCTACGATGTGCGGACGGCCAAGCGCAGGAGGGGGGGTCCTGCGCTCTCGCGTCTGCCGCATCCGGGGTTTTGGCCAGGGGCCGGCAGGGATGTTGTGCTGGGTCGGAGGGAGGTGGAGGATGGGATGGGGGAGCCAGCTTACGCCGTCTGGACGAGGCCTGGCAAGACGGGCGGGCGTGATGCGCGGGTGGCGGGTGGTGTTTCGCGCCAGGCCGGTTTGGCGGTTTCCGCGCCGCGCCCTGTGTGTCGGGTTCTGTACAAGACGCCCCAGCTGGATTCCATGCGGTTGAGGGTTATTTATGAGTTTGACGATGCTGCCGCTGCCGCCGCCGCAGGTGACGATTTCCTTGGTTCGGTTTCCGGGGTTGCTTTTGGTGTTGGGGAAGATGGCGAACTCGCATGGGCGGGCTTGGATGGGTGCAACGGGATGGATGAGAATGCAGCGATGGCGACAGCGATGGAGGGGGCAGATGTGGGACGCCGGCCCCTGGGTGGTGCTGGGCCATGATGGCTCGTAGCAGGTCCGCCATATAAGATCCCCGACTGCCTTGGATCTTGGCCAGCTATGCAGCTGCGCGCTGCGACTCGGACTGGCCCTCTGCAACGGCCTGGCACCCCCGGGTAATGATTGGGAGGGATCGAGCAGTGTGCCCGTGGCTTCGGCTGCTTGAGCTCGCTCGGTCCGTGAAATCGGCCGTGGCGAGGTGTGTCAACATTTGTACTGTCATCAATCATCTGGAGGTTGCGATCTGGAGCGAGGCGCTGCATTTCTCAAGGATGGGTTTCTGTATTTTGTCTTCTGATACGATACCATGTCTGATACAACATCTGGGCGGTCGTTATCTTATCCTGTTTCGTTATTGGTGCTCTATTCTGTTTCTCATTCTCATTCTCTCCCTGTCCCTGTTCTTCATACTCTTCTTGTATTGTATTATCTTTGCTTCCTCTTTTTTTCCAAGTTTTCTTTCAGAGGCTTTCCTAGAAAGCCCTGATTAAGACTCGGCGATTTTAAGAGCTGGCTTCTAGACGTACCTATCTCGATGAAAGACCTACCCATAAACAGGGCCAACCATACACCAGCCTGACCTCTACACCCGCAAGGAACATCCCAAGAACCGACTCGAACTGGCTGGATAACGTAAATCAGAATTCGCTGTAATATGCTGTCTCCCCAAAACTGCCCATCCTAAGAAATCCACCACATCCACCAGGTATATTGGATAAAACTGCAGATGATGGGCCCCGGAAAATCAATCAACGTCATCGCCCCTGAGAGTCCCGCCCTCGCCATCCTCGCCAGACTCCCCATCCTCCAGAAACTCGGACCCGTCGCCCGCCGTCCTGGCAAGGTACTGCTTGACGAACTTGCCGTCCGGCAGCAGGCCCGCATACATCAGCGGCGCGACCAGCAGCGGTGCCTGTGGTTCCTCGGGCCCGCCCGCCATCTGCGCCTTGATGAACGCCAGTTGGCGCCCGGCCATCTGCCACACAAAGCGCGGGTTGCTCCGGTAGTACGCCTTGAAGGCCGTGCTGGCCTTGAGTAGCGCCCAGTAGCAGGTCGCCTTGTTCCGCATGTCGGCCGGCGGTTCCAGGAGGGCCGCCGTCTTAGGGTCGAGCCTGTTGGAGCCGTTCCGGCCGATGGCGCGCGGCGCGATGTCGCACCACTTGGCGTAGAGCTGCCGCACCTTCTCCGGGTATGCAACGTTCTGGTCGCGGCTCCGCATCATGACCTTCCACTCGCCCTCGACGGCGCCGATGGCGTTGTTCAGTGACTCGAGCACGGCCCTGAGGGACCGGGAGTCGGTTGCCAGTTGCTTGAAGGCATCATAGTACACCACGAGTTCTTTGTCCCAGTGGTGTGCGGCATCCTCATCGTCCCGACCTTTGCCCTGCATGGCCTTGTGAAAGGCCTCCAACTCACGGTCAATCGCCGGCTTTGCAATGGCAAACTTGAGGTAGTCGATGATGTGGCGGGGATTTCCTGCTCCCATCCATCCATCGCGTTTGTATGCCGGGTCCTCGGGCTGCATCCGACCCTTGAAGTGGTCGCGGCGCAGTCGGTCCCAGCTCGCCTTGTCAAAGATGATGCCCTGCTTGCTCTGGTCTACCAACTTCCCAACAAGGGTGCTAAGAATGACGGCGTCGTTGTTGCTCACGCTGTTGTTGTGGTAGCAAATCTTTTCCTTGTAGTTGGTGCAGATGCCCAAGAAGTTGGGCTGCATCGTGAACTGGAAGCTTTTTCGGATCATCTCGTAGACGGCCGTGTCTTGCGCACCGATCTGTCCATTCTCGAGGTCATCTCCAGGCTGTCCGGCATAGCGCACCAGGTCCGCAAAGGTCGTCTTGTCCTTCTCCATGTACGCCGAGAGGTCTGGTTCCTTGGGCATGTCGGCGTTGACAAAGCTGTTAACAATGTCTGGATCCCAGCACACCCAGGCCATGTCTCCGTCATAATCACCGCCAGACAGCTTGTCGGCGAGTGGAATGTCCCCCTTGGCTGAAAAGACAATGACGTCTTTGAGGGCGTGAAGCTCCGACTTGAACACGGCCCTGACCCTTTGTACGTCGCTCACGAAATGGGCGGGGGAGCGGGCGACAAGGACGTCGCAATCTGCCAAGAGGGTGTAGGAGGCGTCTGCCTCTGACTCGGCCCGGAACTTTGACGAGAAGCCGAGATGCACCTCGTTCTCCTCGAGAACGCCCCAGAAGTCGATGACCATGTAGATGTAGGCAGACCGCCCGACCTTGATGTTCAGCTTGGTCTTCAGAATGTCGCACCGTTGCTTCTGGAGCTCCCAGGCCAGATCCTGGACATACTTCTGCTTCCTGGGGTCGAATCCGCTATTCAGCAAAAAGTTGAGGATCTCCCCCTTGTTCTCGGGCAGGCCGCCCAGAAAAGGGACTTGGCCGTACTTGACGCGGTCGGACCGGCCGCTCCAGTTTTCGTTGGCGAATTGTCGGAACTGCAGAGGGCACTTGAACGCTGCCTTTTGGTCCTCGAACTGCCTTTCCAGGTCATTCGTCAAGCGCGCCCCGATGGCTTGCCTCATGAGGCCCATGTCCTTGGCTCTGGCTTCGAGCACCGGCAAGAACTGCAGATTCAGCCCCGCTGACTTGAGCTCGGATGAGACGCTACGGACCTCGAGCGTCCGGTGGTAGGGGTCAGCCCAGTTGCAGTTCCATTTGCGCTGCGATGGGTATGTGTCGATCCAGTCCTCGGTGCCCGTGTCGGCGACATCCATCAGCCACATGCCCTTTGCAGAGCCCATGCGCCCCTGGATGGCCGAGGGAATGTCGATCAGGCCAAGGGCATCCCGGACTTTCCGCGCCACACTGCGGGACATGAGACCGATGCCGTCGTTCATGGTTTTCCCAATGGGCGACAGGATGTCCTCGCGGTGATGGCGGAGCTGATCCACCTCGAAGGCCACGGCCGGTATAGTCTTGCTCAAGCCTAGCTGGATGCGTGAGAAGAGCTTCAGGTGCGGTTGGCTTCCGTTTTGGTCCAGTTGCAACAGCCAATCCAGCATTTGGCTCGCCTTGAGCTCGGTGCGCTCATTCGCTGCCGGGATGTCTCTCGTCCTGAACACTGCTGGGCGAAAGGTGTGGCCGTTCTCGGCAAAGAAATGGACTCTCTCCTTGAAACTGGCCTGCGCGTCTGGCCCGAGCCGAAACTCCTTTGCGGGC